TGCGGCGGGCTTGTGCTGCGCGGGGGGGGGGGGGGGGGGGCTGCTGGGAGAGACCCCCTCACCCCCCATCTCTCTCCCTGTCTCGCTCTGACTCTCCCTTTCTCTCTTACTCAAACCATATATGTAATGACAATGGCAAATGCTAACATGTGTACTCATTATACTGTCATTTTTGTAACACCTCATATTGACATGTTAAAATCTGAGCCACACGAGGGCAGCATAAAACCACAGGTAAGAGCTAAATATCCTGATATATGTATGCGTGACTTTCGCCAAATCATTTTATTTCGTCGCCTGTAAATCTAAAGTATGAGTGTAAGTGTTGACACGGTTACAGCTGAACCTATAAGCCAATGATTCACACGATTTTTACCCCATCGGCTAAGTATGCCGACAATTGCTAACGTCACTACTTCTCTGACTCAGTTAAAGCTTATTGCAACATCATCTGTGAACATACTTGTGGATATTCTCAGTCATCCAGGTCATCATAACAATTCATCAGTTCTGAACTGATGAAGCCTCTTGGATGAGAGGCGAAACGTCCTAAATTTACTTGAGGTGAGCCCAGTTGCCTATTTTTTAAAACTGCTTTTGAGATCATCTGTGAAGATTCTCAGTCCTCCAGGTCATGCAACATTTGCTGTGAGCCACACAAGAGCAGCATAAAACCCCAGGTTAGAGAGAAAGCCTCGTCTAATCTTACTGGCAGAGAGGTGACGCCCCCAAAATAAATACATATATGCATGTGTACATGAATGCTAACATGCATAAGTATACAAGTATGCATGCATAAATCTCTATACATATATACTGTACATATATAGCTATACATGCATATAGTATATGTAAAAACTCTAAACACATTTCTAGCAACACCAATCAGGAATCAGGATGAAGACTGAGTTACAGTTACAGCTCCTTGTCTCTCTCTTTCTCTCTCTCACTCTCTCTTTCCTGTCTCCACTCCCCCTCGCCCACTCCACTGCTGCTTCCCTTTTTCCTTTTACACTTTGACCTCTTGAATTTGGGGAATGAATTTCCTAATTTTTCACATATGAATCGACTGAAAAACTGGAGATTTATTTATTTATTTATTTATGGAGGGTTTTTTTTTTTGTTATTTTACACCACTCTAAGTGCTTACCTGTTGTGTGAATCACAGGTAATTCTTTATCATTTATCTTTATGAATAATTAAAAGCAGGAATCATGAAAAATATCGCTTGGTTTTCTCTTCGTCAACACATTTTGTTCTGTGTATATATACATATATGTATATATATACATACACTATATTACCAAAAGTATTCGCTCACCTGCCTTGACTCATACTATGAACTGAAGTGCCATCCCATTCCTAACCCAGAGTTCAATATGATGTCGGTCCACCTTTTGCAGCTATTACAGCTTCAACTCTTCTGGGAAGACTGTCCACAAGGTTGAGGAGAGTGTTTATAGGAATTTTTGACCATTCTTCCAAAAGCGCATTGGTGAGGTCACACACTGATGTTGGTCGAGAAGGCCTGGCTCTCAGTCTCCGCTCTAATTCATCCCAAAGGTGTTCTATCGGGTTCAGGTCAGGACTCTGTGGAGGCCAGTCAAGTTCATCCACACCAGACTCTGTCATCCATGTCTTTATGGACCTTGCTTTGTGCACTGGTGCACAGTCATGTTGGAAGAGGAAGGGGCCCGCTCCAAACTGTTCCCACAAGGTTGGGAGCATGGAATTGTCCAAAATGTTTTGGTATCCTGAAGCATTCAAAGTTCCTTTCACTGGAACTAAGGGGCCAAGCCCAGCTCCTGAAAAACAACCCCACACCATAATTCCTCCTCCACCAAATTTCACAGTCGGCACAATGCAGTCTGAAATGTACCGTTCTCCTGGCAACCTCCAAACCCAGACTCGTCCATCAGATTGCCAGATGGAAAAGCGTGATTCATCACTCCAGAGAACGCGTCTCCACTGCTCTAGAGGCCAGTGGCGGCGTGCTTTACACCATTGCATCCGACGCTTTGCATTGCACTTGGTGATGTGTGGCTTGGCTGCAGCTGCTCGGCCATGGAAACCCATTCCATGAAGCTCTCTGCGTACTGTACTTGGGCTAATCTGAAGGTCACATGAAGTTTGTAGCTCTGTAGCAATTGACTGTGCAGAAAGTCGGCGACTTGCTTGATTTTATACACCTGTGGCCAGGCCAAGGGATTAGGACACCTGATTCTGATCATTTGAATAGGTGAGCGAATACTTTTGGTAATATAGTGTAATATCCTGCATGTGTTGTTTTCATCACATACAATTCTTATGACTATAGGACTACAAGCCAGACGCAGATCCAGCCAAGTTCAAGTCTGTTAAGACAGGCAGAGGACCTCTGGGGCCCACCTGGAAGGTAATGGCTTTAATTTTAGTCCATTTGAACAGATGTTGCTTGACATCTTCTGTAGTGGCCTTGACTTTCCCCTAGTTGTTTCATTTTTGTTATCAGTACAATAACCTGATATACAGCAGCTCTCATACAACTAATTCAGGAGACTTTCTTGGGCAAAATTTAAAGCCTAAATAAGAATAACCAAAACTAGGTTGACCTAAAACATGCTCTTTATACGAGCGATTTAGTCATTTGGTCAGGCTTAGACCTTCCTAGTGTTGGGAAGGTAGTGTGTGACTACAAATGGCTACAAATCCATGTTGTAGATAAATGGGCACTATAGCAGATATGCAATTTGTGGTTTCCAAGGATTACAAACTGTGAAGGATGTCCGTTGTAATGTGCTTGAG